TCCAGTGTCATTTGAATGATCTCTTCCTTCAATTTTAGAATTTTAGATCAGGGATCTTGTTACTGTTTTTGGCACAATTTTGTTTGCTGAATATTTATGGCATAGCATTGCCCTTTGTGTTCAGAGGTGTTTATGATGTTGTTTCTCTTGGGTGTACTCGTTGGAAGATCTGCCTTTCTCTTCAGTTCCAATGAACAGAAGATGAACACATAGCACTCTGGTTTGTTTTACACCTGTTGGTCTTGCATTTTTGTCGAATGAACTACAAAGTAATGTGTTACTGCTTGTTTGTTAATTGTTACTCTGTGTTTCCTGAGAGCTGGGTTTTACAAAAACTGCATCTATCTTGTTGTTAATTCATTTATTTATCCATTTATTTATTCACTCAACAAATGCTTCTTGAATACTGCCGACTGCCAGGCAATTTACTAGTTGTTGGTAATACCACAGAGAATAAGACTATCCTTCCTTTACTCAATAATTTCCCACTTTTCTTGGGTCAAGCTGCTATAAAAGACACTATTTTCCTAGTATTAGGAAAGGCGAGAATACCTCTCTTGTTTTGGGTCTGTAATAGTAGTCAGTATTCCATTGGTATTTGAAGCAAGGTAATATATGACTAAAGATGTTTAATGGCTACAAAGTGATTGTCAAAAAGAATATTTTCTGGCAGAAAAAAAATAAAGGTAGACTAAAACAGCAATCTGATTCCTATAAGGCTCATCTTCCTATTTTTCGACATGGTTACTGACACTTCCTTTTTATTTACTTTTCCTGACACTTCCTTTTTTACAGCTATCTTTGTGTGTGCTCTGTTATTTTTACCGATATTTTAAGTACAAATAGTTAATCTTCTGAGTTGCTTCATGCAAAAGGATGAGCTTGATAGTACCAGGCAAAGGCTTTCCTTTCTCATCTCCCATGTAAATCAGTTCTTCCTTACTGTCTAGTGGTATCAGCTGTGTGTTACTCAGTAAGCTATCACTGGAGAGAGTGCACCTGGGTTTGTCGGACTCACTGGAAGCTATCTCTTGTTGGGCATTTCGGGGCAGGGAAGGAAGGAAGGCTGTACCATGGTGGGTGAGTGCAGGAGGGTGTAGGAGGCATGTTGAGCCCAGCAATGTCCTCCAAATTACATCCTGAACGTAGAGACCTTCTTGTTGGCCTAGGTATGTTTAGATGCAACCCTCTCTCTGGAACAAAAAAGTTGTGTTAAGGATAAAGTCCCTTTTGTTCTTTATAGTTCTATACTTTAAAGAGGAAGAATTAACTGAAGATGTTGAAGTCCAAGTTGAAGTTGTTCTTGGCAGGTGGTAGTCGTCAGGGAATAGTGAACCTTGAGGATCATTATCAATTGTCACAGTTATTCTATCATTTCTGATTTCTTAGCTTTGTGGGAAGGAAAGGAAACTAAGAGTGACTTTATAATGCTTCAAAAATTAAAGAAGTGATCTTTTCAGCTTATGGTGAATTCTCATCTTTGGGAGGAAGATCAGCAGAGTCCTCAAATAATTTGGATGATCCCTGATGGTTTTCTCTATAATCCTCTTGCCCCATCACTTTTTCTCTATGCAGTCTCCTCCTCAGCTTCTTTTTAGTTGAAGTCCATGGTCTATGTTTATAGTTACCACTTCTTCCAGAATCAGCATCCTTCTTATCCTCTTTCCATTCCAGTAAAACCAGCTGCTGGTTAAATCTCTCTGCCTACTCAACTCTCCACCCATGTCTACACCCAAGCAGCTGATTGTGGCTGGGGAAAAACACGACTGTCTTAATGGGTCTCACTTTAAATTTATGATGACACATCTCATAGGGCTCACCACTTTTCCCCTGAGAATTTGCTTGCCCATTCTGCAAGATGCTATTTCACGCTTTCTCCTTTCACCGCAAACCACTTGACATTTCTCTTTTCCTATCCAGTTTCTTGTTTGAGAACATGAGAAATATGAAGATTACTTGGACATATTCCTACCACCAAATCTACCCACTGCCTGCACCTGTGCCTGCTTTCTCTGCCCTTCCTCCTGTAGTGGTGGTGGATGTATCTGTGCCAACCTGTGCCCTGGATCCCGTGCCCTGTCAGAGTAAAGAAGCTAACCTTACATAGTGACCACTACATGCTAGGCTTCGTTTTAAGTACTTTATATATTATCTAATGAAATCCTTAGAACAGCCCTGGGATGATAATGATAGGAATAATACCATTGTTACACATGAAGAAGCTGAGGTGCAGCCAAATTCAGAAACTTGTCCAAAATTATAGCCATAATAAGTTCATGTGGCTCCACAGTCTGGATGTCACTGCTATATGATACCATATCTCCCAGGATATGGCTCTGGCTTCTTCTCCTCTCTTCCTTGCATCATCATTACCCTTCTCTACTGGATCATATCCATCAACTTACAATCAAGTTCTAGTGTCTTCTATTTTTTAAAGAAACTTACCCTTTATTCCATATCTCCCTCCAGGTATATCCTAATATTCCTGTTCTTTTTCAGCCAAATTTCTGGAAATAATTTTCTATATTTGGTCTGTTGACAGTTTTGTTTCTAGTTTTCTTTTGAACCACTCCAACCTGGCTTTTGTCCCAATCCTTCCATGGGGGAAACCTTTATTGAGTCACTATTACCCTTCTGATGGCAAAGCCAGAGGGACATTTGCAGTCTTATTCAGCCCCTTGGAAATGCTTTATTCTTTTACCTTACTGCACATGACACTCTTCTTGGTTTTTCTCCTATGTTTGTGGTCACTTCTTTGACTCCTTTGCGGAATCCCCCTTGACTGGCTAACCTCTAAATGGTAGATTGCCCAGAGCTTGGGCAGGACTACTGCCCTTTCTGTCCACACTTGCCCCCTTGATGATTTCAACCAGTCTCAAGACTTGAGATATTGTATGTGACTTGTTGACTTCCAAACTTTATCTTTAGCTGTGACCTTCTCAAAGACTTCCAGCACTCCATGTGGATATCATAGGCATGGCCATTACACAATCTATCTCAAATAAAAATTCTTGATCTTTCTTATTATCCTTTAATTTCCATTTTCAGAAATGTGCACTTCACATTATAATTATCAGCAGGGCTTCACCTTCAAATTACATTCTAGGTCTGACCACTTGGAATCCCTTCCTGGACTGTACCCTAGTGCGAGAACCATCACTTGCTCTGTAAGTGTTAAGCAGGAGATGGTAGCTCATACTAACCTCCTAACCTCCTCCTAATGGGTCTTACTGCTCTGTCTCTTGCTCTGATATGGATAATTCTCCACCTTGTAGCCAGAGTCATTTTAAAAACATATATAATTTAGATCTGGTCCATACGTATTCCCTCTTATTGCATTTCCATATTCTGTCTGTCTCTGTCCCCAGTCCAGTCTTCCTTGCAGTGCATATTTGCCACAAGACTTTTGTTCTTGCTGTTCATCTGCTGTGAATACTTTCCTTGTAGACACTGACCTCAATTAAACAAGAGAATTTATTATTTTGGTATGGTCTCTGTTCAAATTTTACTTTATCAGAACAGTTTTCCTTAATCTGTCCATCTAAAAATAAGAGCACCTGGCATTTCTTTTTTCTTGACAGTTTATTTATATCTACTTGTTTGCTGTATGTCTCCCCGAGTGGCATATCATCTCTGTGAAGTTAGAAACGTTATTGCTTTATTCATTGTTCCTGGAATAGCACCCATTAGGTGCACAGTAAAAATGTGTTTAATTTTTGGAATAGTGACAGTTATTAAATCCTACAACATTAAAGGCCCTATAAGAATAAAAAAAAAGACAAGAGTTATTATTTTTTTCTTTTTTGCATTTCTGGGGATTAAACTCAAAGCCTTGCACATGCTAGGCAAGCACTCTACCTCTGGTCTAAACCCCTATCAGGAGCTAATATTTTTTAAAAGTCACAAAACCTCTAAATGATACAGGATGATGGGTATGTGTGAGGAAGGTTGTTTGGGAACAAAAGAAAGTCTCAGAATTCTTGAGTTGCTTTGGTTGTTTCTGCTCCCTGTTCCCTGTTGAGTAACCACTGTGTGGACCCCTAATGGGAGAGATGGAAAGAAAGGCCTTCAGTGAACTCTCTGAGCTTTGGGATGCATCCATGGTTGGGGGAGTTGGAGTATTCCTAGAAAATTGAAATAGGTGAAACAATACAAACTTGCGATTTTATATTCCTTAAACCCATTTTACTTGAAGCACTGAAAATGACAAATTGTAGATTTAACTCTGATGATGGTGATAATGACAATTTTTTCCACATATTGCTTTTCTGACTCTCCTTGGTACATATCCTGTTTCCCAGTTTCCTGTAGAATGGGATTGAGAATGTGGATGCAGTCGTTTCCAGTTTCTTGGGTCACTCCTCCTCAGGGAGAATAGGACCCAAGAGCAGATTTTGGTGCCTCTCTCACTTTACATTGTTGTGAGATATGTTCATTGATGTGAAAGAATAGAAGGAAATGCCAAAATAATGAATTCACCTCTTTAATATTATGAGAGCTGAAGGGATGGGAACAACTGTTTTTTTTTTTTTAAGTTCTGTTGGTATTTCTATGTTAATTTCTAACATACACCTTACATGACCTCTGGAACACAGAAATGGGATGTTTCTTACCCCTGTAAATATAAATTACTTCAATAACAACTAATAGTACCTGAACTTTAACTCTCAGTAAGCATGATACATGATATTTATTTGACATAATATGATTTTTAAAAAATGTGTGATATATGGGGTTGGGGATGTAGCTCAGTGGTAGAGCACTAGCCTAGCATGCACCAAGCAGTTCAATCCCCAGTACTTCAGTGAAATAAAATAAAAGGTATATGGTGGGTGCATAATCCTGCAAAGCTCACATCATCTAACTGGCAATAAAAATTGGTATTCAAAGACTCAGTGTGAGTTTTGGGTAGTGTTTTGATCAGCTGAAAAGATCTGTGTGTTTTGAGAACGTGCTCATTGTATGTTTTCGTGTTTCCCTTTGATTTCTACTTTTCCCAGAGGGAGAAGAAGATGAGGATGAAGAGGATGAAGAAGATGAAGAGGAAGAAGAGGAAGATGAGGAAGAGGATGAGGAGGATAAAGATGCAGACTCCCTGGATGAGAGCTTTGATGGCGACTCTGAGGTGACGAGTTTCACTCTCCCTGGCATCACATCCCAGGAACCCGGCTTAGAGCAGGGAAACATGGACCCACTGGAGGGAGCCACCTACCAGGTGCCCGATGCCATTGAGTGGGAACAGCAGAATCAAGGCCTGGGTAAGAGTCATGTATTTCCCTCTCCTTCCTTCTTCCCCCTTTACTGTTCTAAGGTGACAACTTTATCTTTGGCATCTGTCATGGAGCAAAATGATTTTTCTGTTTATGAGTAGTTCATTTGGGGGGAAAAATCAGTTATTTCTTTAAGAAATTTATGTTTATAAATAGCAGATTCCAACTGCCCCTGATGAGAACAGTTATCTGATTTTGGGAAGGAATCCCATTTTTTTCCTTCTCAGCTGCAAGAATTTTAGGAAGACTTGCAAGTAGGGAGGAAAAGCGCGCAACCAATGTTGAGCAAGAGCACAAATGCATGGGAGTCAGAAAGCAAATGTGTTTTGTCACCTTCTGTCCTTTCAGAATTTGTTCCTCAGGGGACATTCTTTCTCTGCCAGTATGTGAGCATTGGGGTTGTCCCACAGCTTTTCTGTTTATTGTCCAACACAGTCTCCTCTCACCAGCTGAGAGTCCAGATATCCCTGTGCTTACTCTCTCCAGGGCATGGTTCATGTTTTCCACAAGACACTCTGAGAATGCAGACTGCATCTCTGCCTGTCACTCCCTTCCTGCGACAGGGAAGCTCCCCAGTCTATTCTTTTTTTTTTTGTCAGGAGTAGACACTATTAACCTCTGAATGAGAGACTCAGTCTCCTTCCTCCCCCATCTTCTTTTTGGCACTGGGGATTGAACCCAGAGATGTTTTACCACTGAGCTACATCCCCAGCCCTTAATTTTTTTTTTTTTAATTTAGAGGCAGGGTTTTGCTAATTTGCTAGGGCCTAGCTAAGTTGTTGAGGCTGCCCTTGAACTTACAATCCTCCTGCCTAAGTCTCCTGAGTCACTGGGATTATAGGCGTGTGCCACACAGTGCTTTGTAAGGCCCACTCTCTTGACCCTATGTGAAGCGACCTCTTTAAAGAAATCCCCTTCTTAGTTTTTAAACAGCTGGGCCTGTTTATACCTTCAGCCTGGCAGACATTAAGTTGAAGAATCATATGATTGTTTTGTGGGCTACTTCAGTGAAAATTTGAATGTGGGTCTGAGACTTTGCAAGGAGAGAGGATACTGAAGGGTTAGTGTCCAGTGGACAGGCAGAAGGTATTATTGTTGTGCATACAATATCTGCTGAACTGTTTTCTGAATAAATGCAGCATATATTGGGCAATACATATTGACTCTAAAATATGTCAAATAAAACTGTTAAAAGTTTATAGAGGTATGAAAATGTTGTGGTACCAAAATATTATAAAATAAACACAAAATAATATGAACATAGGTCTGTGAACAAGTGGACAAATATTTAGTCTGAAACACTCCTGTCCTACTCTGACAGGTTTTATATGAATGGGAAAAAATACAAAATACAAAGATAACTTTTTACAATGCAGGTTAAAAACAAAGACAAAAATCTATACATAAAGTGACTCTATCATGTATACTGTAACATGGATAGGTTGAATATTCAGGACTCTAGTGCTTTGCTAGGGAAGGGAGTGAGAGAGGTTACTCTCCTACAGAAGGAGGGAGTTCATATGGCACCTACCATTGGTTGTGGTCAAAAAAATTAGTTTCCTCACTTAAGAAGTTGGCTTGCTGTCCATGAATAAATGTAAGTAATTGTAGGAACTGTGAAGAAGAAAAATGTGGAGAGGCTTCAGTCTGAAGTTGCAATGATTATGGTTATGGCCTTATAATGAGCTTCAACACAAATTTATTACTGAATAGGAGTCCGATTTTTAAGGAATCATCAAGGTATATACTGCAAACCATAAGTTGCACCCATCTAAAGGGTACAAGTCAATGAGTTTTGACAGTTGTCAGCCACACATCCATTTCATAATCACATGCAGAACATTCCCGTCATCTCATCCCAGTGATTCCTCATGCCCTCTGCAGCACCTTCTTTAGCCCTCAGCCCCAAGTCTACTTTTGACACTATAGATTAGTTTGCATTTTCTAGAATTTTATATAAATGGTATCATATGGTATATAAATTTTTGTGTCTGGCTTCTTTCACTTAGCACAGTGACTTTGAGATTTAGCTGTGTTGTATGGATCAGTAATTTGTTCCTTGTCACAGCTGGGTGTTATTTAGTTGTATGGATAGACCACATTTTGTTTATCTATTTACCTATTGATGAACACTTGAGTTATTCAAATTTTTACCTAATAGCAGTTAAATTTTAAGATGTGGTAGGCATAAAGCTCAGGACAAATCACTCTGTTGTCTCCTGTCCTGCTTCTGGATTCCAACCCCTATACACAGCTAACATTTCATAAATTAGTGATTCCAATTGGTGGTTTGATATGCTTTTAAAAGTGATTCCTGCAGGTGCTAAGGCTTTCCCCCTCCTTATTATAATAATTTACTATTTCCCTAGGTATCTCTTACTTTTTACTTTTCTTTTCCCAATAAACTCGTTCTTCCACCCTGTTTTTAGCCTTCTGGGTTTTGTGGAAACCAAAACAAGAACCAAATCTTTCAACCTGGTCTTTTTCCCATGGAGAAGATTGTGCTTTGAGGAGTATCTAAGGCTTGAGATTTTTTTTTTTTAGTCCCACCAACTTTTTCTTGGAGAGGCAAGGGTTTTTCCTCCTAACTCAAAGCCAGTACCAACTTCTGGGTTAGTAGTAATTGATCCAGTTTCCTAAATACTTTCAGGTCAGGTCCCTATTTGTGGTGGATTTTGTGGTACTAGAATAATGGCTTTCCTAGGATGTCTATGTCGTGCTCTCTGGAATCTGTGAATATGTTACCATATGTGGCAAAAGGAGTGTGCTGATGTGATAAAGTTAAAGTTCTTGAGACAGGGATGGGAAGAAGATCCTGGATTATCTGAGTGGGTCCAGTGTAATCTCCAAGTCCTCATAAGAGGGAGGAAGGAGAGTCAGAGTCACGGAAGGAGATGTGATGACAAAAGCAAATGTTGGAGTGATGGGGCCAGGAGCCAAGGAAAGCTGGGAGCCTCTAGAATCTGGAAAAGGGAAGGAAACAGATTTTCTTCTAGATTCCTTAGAAAGAATGCAGTGCTGCCAACATTAGTTTTAGAACTGGGAAACCTATTTCAGACTTCGGAATTTCAGAACTGTGAGATAATAAATTTTTGGTGTTTTAAGTCACTAAGTTTATGGTTTGTTACAGCAGCAAATGGAAACTAATACAGATTTCAGTAAGTTATTTAATAAGGTGCATACTTTTGTGAATATTGTAAAATTAAATCTACTTTAAAAATGGATCAGTAAAAATGCAAACACTGAGGCCCTTTTAAAAAAGTAATCCTAATTTATTATAATAATATTTTAAGGCTGTCTGCTTCAGTCTATTTTTAAGTGGATTATTTTATTTATAGATCACCATATCCATTTTTTACAACATGAATGATATACCAAAGCAAATGTTAAACACACATATATATTTTTAAGTGAACAGATTGAGATGGGTAGTTGGGATTGACTAAAAATATAATGCAAACTCTTTGAATAGATTATAGTCTCACTTCCTGTTAAGTAACAAGGGTGGAAAATGTAGATGGCTTTCTAAAGCAAAGCAGTAAGCAGTAGATTCACAGCCTAGAATTCTCTGAACGTCTGTTTTCCACACTGTGACATACACTTGCTTTGGAGGCAGAGAGCTCAGTTTCACACCAACAAGACATTGTCCCCAGATAGAAGACAACTGCCTTTTCACTGTGTTTCTTGCTTAAAGGAGAGGAAGTCTTTCTAAGGATTTTCCAGTAGAATTTGTCTTTCCCCTAACTGATGGGGATCAGGACACATGCCCATTTCCCAACCACCATTGATGGAATGGATGGGGTGGGTGTCAATCATCACCTCCATCAGTGAGTTCTGTGTGTTTTCTTCTCTTGTAGTAGATACTTGTCCATGTCTCCTCTCTCCTGTAAACAATCTTTATTTAAACTATTACCTGTGTTTTAAATAGGTTTTGAGTTTAGTTCTGAATGGGAGCTTGATGGTGACATTATTTCATTGTTTTTCTCAAAAAGAGACAATTTTAGGTTACTTTAGAGTTTGTTGATGTTCTGGAGAGATAAGACTTCCAAAAGCCATCAGCTAAGTGCAGATTTATAGCTGTCTTCACTTTTTTTAGAAAGCCTACTTGTCACATTGGAATGGGTACTTGATTAAGGAAATGGATTTTTTTTCTGTAAGTCTTATATGATGATAAATATTCAGTTAATTATCTAGGGACATTTATGGACAAACAGAAGGGTGAAGAGTATTTGTGTACCTTTTTAATTTATTTATTTTTACCAGACATTCCTTAAGCACTGTCTTGGTTTTTGATCTGGAATTTTCCCCAAGTCTCATGTGTACAGAGGTGGAGCTTTTGGGTAGTGATTGGATCACGAAGGTTCTTATTTTGATGGATTAGTCCATTGGCAGCAACATGGACTACTGAGGGTGGGTGGGACCTAGTTGGAAGAAATAGATCATTGGGGACAAGCCCTGGAAGGGTTTGTCTTTTCCCCAGATCCTTTCTCTCTCTCTCTCTCTCTCTTTTGCTTCCCAGATGCCATGAGCTGAGTAGCTTTCCTCTACCATGCCCTTCTGCTGTGATGTTTTTGCATTGTAGCCAGCTGATCATCAACTGAATCTCTAAAACTGTGAGCCAAAATAAACCTTTCCTCTTCTAGGTTGTTTATATCAGGTATTTTGCTCACAGCAATGCAAAACTGATTAATACAAGTACCTACAAAGTGCTGTATGTTAGGGAAATAGTAAAAGGGTGACATACTGCCATATGTCATCAATTTCCATGGAGCAGGGAGTAGTTCCATAGATGTGAAGTTAGTGGCTGAGCAATTTCACAGCAAGGAGGTCAGTCATCCCTTAGAAGCTGGGTTTGCAGTGGGAAAGCCATCTGTGAGGTGTGACTTTAGGGGTGCATTGCCTGATCCCCTAATTTATATCACCTTTCCTGTGCTAACATGATACCTACGTTCCAATATTAGAGCCTTAGTTTGGATTGCAATAATATG